AGAACTACAAGGAAGTTTTAAGGAAAATGCGAAAGTAACTGTTGAAATTTCTAGGACAATATGAGGAATGAGGGCTTGGAAAACTTGACACTCACAGAGTATACGAAAGGCAAGAGGGATGGAGGAAAATAGTTTATCCTATCTAATGAACTTGCATAAATGAATAGAACATGGACTGTGTGTGTGTGTGTGTGTGTGTGTGTGTGTGAGAGAGAGAGAGAGAGAGAGAGAGAGAAAGTGGAAGAAATATTGCTTAGAGCTACAAAGAATAGGAAATTGTAGAGAGCCATAATCACCCACACCCTAAAGCGAAACTCCTATTAACACTGGAAAGGGCGATAACAGCTACTGGACTTGAGAAACCTATTTTCCTAAAAAATTGTTTTAAGAAAAAGGTTTGGTAAATTTCTTCCGACAGCAGCACTAACAGTTCGGTCAATAAATGCCGCATGCTTCCTTATGAGGAAATGGTTAATATTACCATAATGGTAATCATCAGGGAACTTCGAACTGAATGCTTTATCTATTCTATGGAGGTAGATTGTTTTCGTTCCGCAGTCCATGTCTTGAGGCTGATATACACAAACTTAAACTTAATGTTCTTACGACTGTGACTGCTGCTGGGACTGCTACTGTAACTGCTGCTGTGATTGCTACTGTGACTCTGCTTGGTTTAAGGCTTCATGTTCTACACTATAGCCTAATGGATTAGAGCGTTGGTTCGTGAATTTGGTAATATAGTAACTGTGACTTCAATCTTTGGATCTATAATGGCAGCCTTAGTCTAAGAGGAAACAAGCCGGGCAATAACTGGGCATTACTAATGACAGTAGACATGGAAAGCGATTCAAAAACAATCTACACCCGTAGATTAAATAAAGTCTTTAGTCCAAAATTTCTTGAAGGTTACTCGAATAAGCAATCAACTGATGAAGGACGAAGAACACAATGGCTGAAACGTTGTGATAATAAGAACTAAGATTAGTGTAAATAAGGTAAATCATAACTGATCCTCAAAATTCTGACTGAAATGATGGCAAATTGTTATTATTGTACTATTTTTTTTTTAATTTTATTTTCAGTCTACTCTAATTTCGATAAATATTTTTTAAAAAAGAAAGTCTATTGATTTACGCTTAAACCATTGCATAAACAGCCAATCAGATGACTGATAGCTAGGGCCGACAACATTTCACAGCCAATACGAAACATTGATAATTGTTTTTTATAGGATTCAACTGCATAAAGAAAGGACAATAAAAATAGAAGTGGATATACTTTCTTAAGTAAACTAAAGTTACCTTCCGACTAGATTATGATTGATTTTTGCCATTAGTTTTCGTTTCGTTGGGCGTATTCGTATAGCTTTCCAATAAAAAATACATATTTATTACTTTGGTAGAATGATTTCCTATTGTGTGATATTTTCGTCTTTTTATACCGAGAGACTGGTTCCGTAACTGTTTCGTATAGAACATTCTTTTATCCTCTATGCTGGTTCAAGCAAGGTTAAAAATGGGTGTAACAGCTTTCTTCTATTATTTAGATTGGTTCCTTCACTCTGTTCTCTGTATAACATGAACGGTTTCTGCTAGATAATAGACAACTGAACAAAGTGCAAAGGTTTTCAGTGATTTTGCTGTAACTAAAACTCTGCCATTCTTAGCTTTCCTCTTAATCAGGAGTCCTCAACCTTTTTTATGTTATTGCCCCTTTCTCGCTATTTTTTGAGGTAATCGCCCATGCCTATTTGTAAAAATATAAATTAAAATATTTTACTTACATTACTTTTTAATATGATCCTTGCTAGAAATTTAATATTTGGTTTGAAATGTGTAAGTTTTAGTCTATTGTCTAGTATCTGTCTATATTTCTGAGATGAGGTATTATGTACTCTATTTACATTATTCGGACTATTGTGCTAATCTTTGGCGACAAAGATGAGGACAGTAGTCCGAATAATGTAAATAGTGTAGTCTATAGTCTACTCGAGTACATATATCAATTTTATTTCTTTCTTTGTTAAAGATTTTATTAATTGCACTTAATCCATATTCGACCAAATAAGCTGGAAAGCATAGCAGTACTTTAGCCATTTCAGACCACATGTTCGGATACAGCTGTTTTACTGTATTTGACAGCCATTATTCTGTTTATTCTGTCGCTTTCAAATTTGTACTTGCATTCATCATTGTGTTTCAATTCAATAAGTTTTTTCTGCATATTTTCACTGACAGCTTCTATGTCACAACCGAAAAGATCTATCATCTATGGATGAACTTCTAGCGAAAAAAAAAATGAATATCGATTATTTAGTTCTTTCAATTTCGCTAAATATTCTGCGTACTTTTTACTAATTTGTTCTTACTTCTGTTAACTCAGGCATGTTATTGAAATTCTTCTGTATATTAACTCGAAATAAGTCTAATATTTAAGAAAGAAGCCTTTCAGAACATAACTGCAATCTTGCAATTACCTTAAATCTGGGGTGAAACTTCATTGAACTTTCGAAAAATTCATGCTAAAATGTAAATGTCACATTTGTGATGCACGATTTCCTCTGCCAAATTTGTCTCACCAACATTCTTCAAGGTATTAACTATTGTACCAAATTGTTTACAAATCTGACCAAACAGTTTCCTTTCGAAATTCAACGGCCTTCTGTATAGATAAATCTTATATGTTATTCTTCGGTATCAAAACAAAACTTTCGAAAAAGTCTGTCATATTTGCTGAGAGATTTTATTTCATTAAATGTTATAATAACTACTGTCAATGACTCATGAATATCATATGTAATATTTTGACAAATGATGACGATGCGCCACGCAATGCACAGCCTAAATAGAAGGACATATATTTTTTAAATTCGCAACAAATCTCTTATGCTAACAAAACATGAATTGAGCACCTTCTGTTGCGCAGGATGCCAAATTTTCAAAGATTACTTGATTTTCGTCAAACCAAAATTTTGCAGCTTCAAAAATGTATAATCCAGTGGTATCAGTTTCTAAAGGTTTCACGAACAACAACTCTTCAGACAGTTTGCAGTTAGAATCATTGCTCTGTGACAATTCTTTTAAGACATTTGCCGAATCTTGCTGCAACACAGTTTTCATGAGAATTGCAAAGGAATATGTAACAACATGTTCAGCAATTGTATGTGCATTTCTAGTTTTGCGCTATCTCATAAGATGCAATTAAGCCATGTTCCTTTGCTTCTGTAGTTTTTTTTAAAAATAAAATGAAAGAGTGTCTCGTTGATTAAAGATTTTCTTTAAATTTTCAAAATACGCAATGGGGTTATTCACTTTGTCAGGATATTGTCTTTATAAATGCTCTAAAATCTTTGACGCTTTCATCGCTTCACTAAAAAATAAACTGTTTCAAATAAGGCACATAGGTTGCGTTTCATCAAACGGGCTAGAAAGCCATAAGCCAAATACTCCTCTACATCATACTTATTATAAAACCCAGGTTGTGTGTGTGTGTGTGTGTGTGTGTGTGCGTTTATATATTGGATCGGATTTCCTACATTTTTCAACCGATTTCAACAAAACTTCACAAGACTACGTAAAATTACCTTGCGGTGGTTCTGACTGCGCCAAAAATTGGAAAAACACAATTGTTTTTTCACGAAATCAATTTGAAAATACGATTAAGAGGCATCGCCAGAATGAAAGGGGGACAACTCATATCGAATTATACTTATTATAAAACCCAGGTTGTTTGTGTGTGTGTGTGTGTGTGTTCGTTTATATATGGGATCGGATTTCCTACATTTTCAACCGATTTCAACAAAACTTCACTTTTTTTTGGGGCAGGTAGTGTTTCTTATTGTCTTGCACACTTTTTTCTTTATTTTTACATTCATAATGCTTTAAAAATTCCATTTACAAGACAATTGTTTATAATAAAATTCTATTCAATCGATAAACTCATAACGATTGAAAACAATGTTTTTGTTTGAGTTTGGGTTTGACCAGTTCATAAAAAAAACAAAAAAAACAAAAAAATACTAATTAAGACATGCGTGTCCGTCAACCTTAAACAATAATCTTTGTCAATTTTATTTTTCAGTCTTTATGATGGTCGATACTTGATCTATCTCTTACTGTTACATTCCCGGGTAACGCCGGGCTCTACTGCTAGTAATGTCTATATTTGTTTTTGGTATTCATGATTAATGAAAAAAGGGCTACAAATATAGGCATCAAGACAACCCAGCACTGTGACAACTTGTCACGAAAAATTAATTTTTTCAATTTTTTAATTTTAAAATAAATAGAAATAAAATCATTATATTTTTTATTTTTAAAATTAATACAAATAAAATAATCTAAATTTATTTTTTAACCTTTAAGATTAGTATAAATAAAATGATAATAAATATTTTTTTAATTTTTAAAATTTATATAAATAAAAAGAGTGAAAAGATTTCTTTTATAATTTTGCTTGATTTTTTTTTTAATAAAAAATAAAATAATTTATTAATTTAATCATGTTAAACCACTAAAATACGAATTTCAAAATTCAAAGAAGTAAAATAATAATTTGTCAGGGTTGGCGATGCCGAGTTAGTGAGGTTGAGTTAGTGATGTTGAGTTTTCGGTGCCAAGTTGGCGATCCTGAGTTGGCAATGACAAGTTAGCAATGTCGAGTTGGCAATACCGTGTTGGCCGTGCCAAGTTGGCAGTGCTGAGTTGGCAATGTTAAGTTGGCAATGCCGAGTTGACGGTGCCGAGTTGGCAATAATGTGTTGGCGGTGCCGAGTTGGCGGTGCCGAGTTAGCGGTGCCGAGTTGGCAATGCCGAGATGGCGATGACGAATTGGCAATGCCAAGTTAGCAATGCCGAGTCGGCAATGCTGAGTTAGCCGTGCCGAGTTAGCGGTGCCGAGTTGGCGATGCTGTTGGCAATGCCAAGTTGGCGATCCTCAGTTGGCAATGGCAAGTTAGCAATGCCGAGTTGGCAATACCGAGTTGGCCGTGCCGAGCTGACCGTGCCAAGTTGGCAGTGCCAAGTTGGGTGTGCCGAGTTGGCTGTGCCGAGTTGGCGATGTTAAGTTGGCAATGCCGAGTTGACGGTGCCGAGTTGGCAATTCTGACTTGGCATTGCTGAGTTGGTCGATCCGAGTTGGCCGATCCAAGTTGGCCGTGCCGTTGGCAGTGCCTAGTTGGCGATGCTGAGTTGGCGATGCTGAGTTGGCAATACTGAGTTAGCGGTGCCGAGTTGATGATGACGAGTTGTATCTTCTTAAAAAATATAAAACAGAAACAATATTTTCACCTCCAAGTTATTGTCACTAACACTTGATCTAATTATTAGTATTATCACTGTGACTATAGCAACATAAAAATTGGGCATTACCTACTTCTCACGGTTACTGTTTAAACACTGCAGTGCAATGCGCAAGAAAGTGAGTAATAGCAGACGACACTTGATTCCAAATCCTTAGTTCAGTTGAAACATTTAGAAATGTCCAAGAAAGATTCAGAATATAATCGTGCTTATCATTACAAAAATGGACCAACTCGCATTATATAAAACATATTTCATCATAGGGAAATAATTATTTAGGCCCTGTAGAGATCACAGACACTGTGAGACCGTTCTACACGTGCCCTCATTTATAGGTTTATGCACATATATTTACATTTAAAATAGAACGTTTCTAAAAATGCCTGGATGAAGATAATAAAAAACATTTCCCTATGACATTGACAACATTAACGTTTCAGATAAGGACTAGAGATGATCAAAAGTACTCAACAAAAACGTGAACTATATACAGGTTCTCCATATTTTTTATCCGAACGTACTACAGATTATAGGGGAATTGAAAAAATGTAGGGAAAAATAAACAGATAGACCTTGCATGTCGGTCTTAATCATAGCTGATTGACTAACATAATTTGTAGACGTTCATCTAATCAATTTGTTTTTAAGTTTTGGTTTACTGGGGAAACATGAAGGAATTCGAAGTCGGATTATTTTCTGTAGGGAAATAATCCAATATGTCTTCAATTGTTGGAATATTCTGCTTTTGAATTCGAAATTTCATCTTTATGAATTTATCAAAGATTACTTTTTGCAAGTTTTTAAGAAGATTTAATAATTCAACAGTTTTCTTACTTTTAAACAATTCTAGATTTCTGAATCCAAAAGATACAGTTTTTTATCAAGGACTTTTTAAAAAAAGTTTGCATTTTGTTATTTTGCGACATAGCCATGCAGTATGATCGTTTATTCACACATATATTTATATATATTATACAGCTAATGGACAGGTACTTATAATTGTTTTTAATCGCCAAACATACTTTGAAAGTGTTGTACAGTTTTTGTATTTAATATTGTTCAGTGTCATTTTGTGATGCTAAAAATGAGATTTCCATTGAGAACAGATGGAAATCGCATTTTTATCATTACAAAATAAAAATTTAAAATAGATTTCAAAATTGATTTTACGAATATCAATATAATATGTAACACCTATTAATATTCATAGAACCCAACATTAATAACATTTTTTATATCTATACACATCTATAATTCCATATTATCGTACTCGATTAATTTATAACGTGTATATATGTAATTTCGCGTTTGTAAGTATAACGCTATGTTCCAAACACATTAGATATATAGTCTTAACCTATTATTATATTAACATCGTCAGTGCTAAGTTTATTCCATAAGACATTGCATTCAAAATGTTATAACAACGGTATTTTATGCAAAAAAGAGAGTTAACCCTCTTGATACATAACCTGTTTACATAATTTCCAATTTTTTTTTATTTAAAATAATTTTTAATTTTTTTTTAATAATTCGTCTTTCGAACTTAAGAATTGGAATGATATAAATAATAAATAATTAACCATAATATTATAGGCAACAATAATAGAATGAACAAGTCTAACACACAATTTTAAATCCTCACCACGAGAACGCGAATTTCATAACACTCTAACGGTCAGTCGGTATTTCGCACCTGAAGATTCTACGTTTGCATGAAACTTCAAGTCGTGCTATCAACTTTGGATATTATGTATGTTCACTAAATACACACACACACACACACACATACATATATATATATATATATATATATATATATATATATATATATATATAATATAGACCACGTTAAGATTCCATGTAATAAGCTATTTCACCATAACCCCTTTAACAGGGTTCTGGATCATCAGACTTTACTTCCAAAAACTGAAATGAAAATGAAAAAATTCACACGTTTTTACGGACCTCATCAAGTATACGCAAAGCTAACGAAGTGAGGAAGTGAGGTGAGAGAGGATATGAGTGTGTCATATATATCATTTTAGTTTCCTATTTTAACCCCAGTGTGTCGGCTGGATGTTGTTCAAATTTAACGCGTCTCGTCTCTAGATAAAGGTGGTTAAGGGTGAGCGATAAGAACTACATTA